CCACTGGAAGCCCCAGGTATATAGAAACATCCTCAAGTGTAATCGTGCACTCTCCGCATGGAAGATGGAATGTGTGGGTCTCCAGCCTCCACCGCTCTACTAAGACAGAAATAAGGTCTGGTTCTATCTTACAGTGACCCTGATATCTACCTATGTAACCGAATCCAGCCTCTACTAAATACGGCAAGACACGGCTAGGTATCACTAACTTAATGTTCCTAATAAAATGATCTAATATATGCCCCTTCTCCTAAAATTAAATAATTAAAAAAATTAATTCTTAATCTAATAATCATGCATTAAATAAACAAATTATTACTAATAATTTTAATTAAATTAAAACGTTAAAATGTTACCGTATCAGCAAAGTGTCGAGATATATGATTTCCATCCAAGCGAAGTAGATCGTCTTCCATTTTTTATATCTGCAAAAAAAATAATTAAGTAAAATATTAAATAAATTAAATACAAAATATTAAAAATATAATAAAATATACCTTAGATAGAGATTATAAGAGTATTTGAGAGAATTTGAGAGAATTTGGTGTGATGAAAGTGATTGAGTATGGGGGTATTTATAGGAAGGGATTGGGTGGGTAATTATAGCTAAGGCGCGCCGCAGGGGCACGCCGCATGGCAGATTTTGGGGTAAGGCGCGGCCTCTGCACCGCGCTATACCTCCTTTACACACGTGTATACCATATCAGCATAAGGCGCGCTTCAGGGGGCGCGCCTTACCCCACGTGACACCAAATCAGGGTAAAGCGCGTTGTAGAGAGCACGCCTTTTTGCAAAGGGTGTTAGATAAGGAAATATAGTCTGAACGGTGTCTGATCGGAAAATATACTGTTCAACGGTGATATATCGAGAAAATCGCCTTATATTTTTAACATTTTTACAATTTAATTTATTAGTGCTCATTGTTATTGGCGCTCTTCGAGTACACAAGAATCATCCTTAAAAATATAGATAATTTTAGAAACCAAATATTTCATTACAAAATTAAGCATTATTCACATTTATGTATGCGTCTCTCAAAAATTATATTCTTAAAACTATTTGTTTAAATTTTATATCACTTAATATTGTGACACCATCTTAATTTAAAATATATATATAAAAATAAAAATATATGTAATATTTATAATAACAATTCATGTTTATTTATACTTATAAATAAATATAATTAAAAAGTATTAATATTTTAAATTGTAAAAATTAATTTTACTATATAATTATTTTTAATTAATGTAATTAATTTTAAAATTATAAAAGTATTTAAATTTAAATTAAATTTATTTAAAGAAGATAAATCGTTTAGAATTTATCTAGTATTCTAGTTATATTTAAAAGGTTATATATCTATACAAATTTGTATATATACTTTCATATGTTGGTATGTTATCTGTACTATCTTTCCCTATCATAGTATTTTATATATATTTTAATTATTTTTACAATATATTTAAATAATTACAGTATATTAAAATTATTATATCTAATTAATTGGGATTGGTCTAAACTCTAAATGTCGACTTTTGGTTGTTAGACTCTTCCCCCTCGAAAGGGACATATATTTGTTGTCTAAATGGCGATTAATCATTTGTAGTCTGAGGACCCTACAATTTATTCTTTTCTTTTATTCGCTTTTTTTGTGGAGAGAAAATTAAAATATTCTAATGTTAAAGTCAATTTTTTTGAATTTAAATTTTGATGAAGGGTGATGCAAGATTTTATATTAAGAGTATAAATTTAAGAAATTATATTAAAAGATACCTCAATAGAAAATATAAAAAAAATTATGATTTTAATAAAAAGATCATCATTAAAAGTATAAATTATATTTCAAAGATGTAACCATACAACATATCTTCGAACCATCTACGATTCTAATTAATAAAAAACATTAAATTTCTAAGGCAGGGAATATGTTCAACATGTGCATGGGCTCACATAATCACATGTGGGGTAGATGTATATTGTCATTTATTGAAGATGGGAGCTATCGTATCTTGGTTGTTTTATATTTAGTGACTGTAATTGTTGTAAATTCTATCTTTTGGAATATCGCTTTTCAAATCAAAAGCTTATACGTGCAAGAGAGAACAACAGGTTATATTTGTTCACGGATTAATGTACAACTTCAAAAGGTTTGTCCTATATTTTAAAGATTTTGAACCAAATAATAGACTAAAGATTATGTGTGGGTGTATTGATGAAAATATAAAAAGGTAGTTTCACTAAACATTTTACGCCAATTTTAGCTTTATGCTCCAATCTATGGTCCATGAATCAAATAAATAAATAAAGGGAAAGGCCACATGCAAACAGTATAAAGGCCGAAGAATCCATTGAAAGGCTTAGAAATTAACCCCCACCCATTTTCCCTCCCTTTGGCAATGGCTGATCAACGCACTTCGCTCACCTTCTCTTATTTCTACCAACACCAGGTAAAGTGGTAAACCATCTTTTTGATCTTGTTTAGCTTTGCCATTCTTTGAATCGCTACACCAAATTGCAGTACGGTTGAAGTAGGGTTTGGTTTCTGATATTCTCTTGTTTTCTGCAGGGAATGGAGGAGTTAAAGCAAACCCTAATGTTCACAACGGTGGAGCTGGAGACAACCCTAATGTCAGCCAAAGAGGAGATTGCAAGAAGAGAGTTAGAATTGGTTCATCTCAAGGATGTCCTGGTTCGGACATTGAAACAGAGAGATGAAGTTCAAGCTCAATGTCGGAAGCTGATGATGGAGAAATTCGTGCTTCACCAACAATTACAGCAGCAACTGCCGGAAACTGCTTCACCTTTTGGTGTTTCCCGTGAAGAACATGAATCGAAACCCGCGGCCGAAGCTGTTCTCTCCGCCGGCGAACCAACCATGGCTTCATCTCCGGGTTCCGACTCGATTTCGGCTCCGGTGACTGTACCATCACCGCTTCCCGAACATGCCTTGAAACTAGCAGCTAGCAGGCCACTTCCGGCGAAAGGAAAGCTGTTGCAGGCTGTTAAAGATGCGGGTCCTCTACTGCAGAACCTTCTTTTGGCCGGACCGCTTCCGCAATGGCAGCATCCTCCGCCACAGCTCACCTCCGTTGACATCCCGCCGCTGGCTATCTCTTCCAACAAGCTTAAGAAGAGGGGTCCAGAAAACTACGGAGACGATGATTATTCCCCTAAAACCAAGTACCAGAAGGTCGTCGATGCCGACTTCATCCATTAACTTTCGCACATGGATCGATCCGGTACGAGGAACAAGAATTAAAATATAAGCATCCGACCGTCTATCTAAAACATGCTTTAATAGGATGACCTTTTTCAATTCTTATACTAGAAAAAATGATTTGTTCGAATCCTAACCTCCAATGTTTGATGGAGACTTCCAATGTATTTTTTATGGTTGAGTTTCCTAATTTTGTAAATTAATGAAATCGCAAGCAAAGTTTCGAAAAAATATATATTTAATTATTTTTAATTAATTTAATCAAAACCAATTAAATGATATGAAATATAATTTAAATAATAACTCCCAATAAATTTCAAATTTAAGATTTAAAATTAAAATAAACATATTATATAAAACAAATTTACATAATTTGTGTATCAAATAGAACTCTAGATATAAAATTAATTTAGATATTTAAAAATAAGTGAAAATCATATTTTTTTTCAATATATATCAAATTTAATATCAAAGACAAATATCTTAGAAAAAAATATTAGAAATTGGAGTTGCATGATGAAAAATATGATTATATAAAAGCAAACACGCACTGATAGATCTTCATTGAGATTTTCTTTTTCCACTAAAACCGGGAACTAATCACATATCACTACCATTACTAATTCAAACTCAAACTTTGAAAAATTATACTACATTTTTATTTAAAATTAAAGCCTTTAAAGGTAATGGTTTGCTTCACATGGAGGGGTCAAGATCATTCCCTAGCTTAGACAATAATTTTTATTGAAATTAAATTTGTTATATATATAATTTTAAATCAATTTAAAAATGATCTTTATATCACTAATGGAAAAATTAGTTCATATTTTTCTTAATATCATCACCACCACTGTATGATTTATCGATCAACTAATCTAGATCAAATATTTTTATTACTTATATAAATAAGACAAGAAATATAATTATTTGATTATTAAAATATTTTTTTGATTATGTTAAGGTGATTACATAATAGTATATGTTCTAAATACTCTCAATCATTTAACAATAAAAGCTTAATCATCCTACTGCTATAGCTGGTACTCGAACATGTGACTTCTAAAAACAATAATGATTCTTTTAACTATTGAGGTAAGTTCGTGGTCATTAAATTATTAATTGAATACAAAATTAAAGATCTTTAATGATTTTGGTTGGTTTAGCCATAACCATGCAGGCCACATGCTGGTTAGCTTAAAGATTCACTTGTTTAGAGGTCCCACACGTTTTGTATAGTCTACAATGTTTCAGACTTCTAGATTGTCTTTTAGAGATAGTGATTTAATATCTTTTATATATTAGAGGTAATTATAATAAGATTTTTTATGTTATTTTTAAATTAGATCCTTAAAAGTAATAAAAATAATTTTTAATATACTTTGTATCATGCTGGATCACATGCGAATTTTCATAAAAAAATTCGCATCAAATACAAATGAAGGGATTTACTTTTTAGTTCCGGTTCAAATAGACCCTAAACTCAACCCGACTAATAAAGATCCATAATTATCTCTATTTTCATTTAAAATAATATTTGAATAGAGAAAGAATATATAACTTATTATGTTATTTAATCTCATATTTAAAGTATCTATTCACTAATCATTAATAAATTAAATAATAAAGATTTTATAATTTCATAGTAATATATTTCATGTTCCTCCTGTTACCATTAATAGATGATCATAAGCTTCTAGAATGTTAGGGGCCTCAATAATGGCTCAAGAAAGAGAAAGTTTTTAGAAGATTTGAGAATTTAGAAGTTGATGTCCTGTGTTTCATGGAAACTAGAGTAAGGAGAGTTAATTTTCCTAGTTTTGTTGAGGTACTGGTTACTGATTGGAACTTAGCAGATAATTATGAATTCTCTGATGGGGGTAGACTTTGGTTACTTTGGAAAAAGGCTCTATCTTTCTCTGTTCTTAAGATAAGTGATCAGGCTATTTCGATTGTTGGTAATGTGGCTGGTCATAGAATGGTTATTACTGCTGTATATGGCAGTAACAACAGTCTGGTTAGGAGAGGTCTTTGGGCTCATCTTAAGAGTTTGGAATCTGTTGTTGGTTCCTCTTCTTGGGTGATTGGGGGAGATTTCAACATCTTTGCAAATGCACATGAGAGTTCTGATTTTGGTGAGTTGGGTACTTACACTAATTCTGACATGGATGATTTTAAGGAGTGTTTGGTGGACTTGGAGCTTCAAGATCATCCCTACATTGGTCCTCTCTACACTTGGTCCAATAAGCAAGAAAATTCCTTCTTAGCTCGCAAGCTTGATAGAATTTTAATAAATTCTCAGTGGTTTTTTGAGTTTCCAGACTCTGTTGTGGAATTTAAAGCCCAGGGTGTTTCTGATCACTGCCCTGGTGTCATTTGGACTCAGAAAGGGGCTCAGGTTCATAAACCAAAGTCGTTCAAGTTCTTTAATTGCTGGACTGCTAATGAGAACTTCCTGAGGGTTGTTAAAGACTCTTGGCAAGAGGATTGTGGGGGCAATGCTATGCAGCTGCTTTTTAACAAGTTGAGGAGGCTTAAGCCAGTTTTAAAGGAATTGAACAGAAGCTATTATTCTGACATTTATGGCAGAGTTGCTGAAAAAAGGGCTGAGCTTGAATCTATTCAGCTTTTTAATCTTGTCCATGTGAATCAAAGGAGGCTGGAGGAGGAGAGCAAACTTAGAGATGATCTTGTAGCTCTTGAGGATGCTGAATCTGAATTTTATAAACAAAGAGCCAAGGTTCACTGGCTACAAGAAGGTGATATGAACACTCGGTTTTTCCATCAGAGAGTAGAAGTAAATAAGAAGAGGAACACTATTAAGATTATTAAAGATGATAGTGGGATTTATCATGAATCTTTTGAGAGTATGGCAGTTGTTCTTGAGGAATTTTTTAAGGATCTTATTGGAACTACTGACCCTAGTGTGCATGGATGTTCTGCTGAGTGGCTTAAATCTGTCTTGACTTATTCCCTTCCCCCTGGTGCTGCTGATGGTCTTACTTCTAAGATCACTAATGCTGAGATTAAAGATGCATTGTTTAGACAAGAAAACAATAAAAGTCCGGGTCCTGATGGTTACACCTCTTGGTTCTTCAAGGTTGCATGGGACATTGTATGTAATGATTTCTTGAAGGATGTATGGTAATTTTTTCAAACTTCAACCATCTTGCCTGCTTTCAATGCCACTGTCCTAGTCTTAGCTCCTAAATCCTTAAATGCATGCATGGCTAAGGATTTTTGGCCTATCTCATGTTGCTCTGTGTTTTACAAGACCATCACTAGAATTTTGGTTTCTAGATTAGCTTTATTTTTCCCTGACATGATATCCCTTAACCAGTCAGCATTTGTTAAGGGTAGAAACATAGCTGATAACACTTTGCTTGCCCAAGAAATTGTAAAGGGTTACTCTAGGAAGAATTTATCTCCTAGATGCACTATTAAAGTTGACTTGCATAAGGCTTTTGATTCAATTTGTTGGGATTTCTTGATGACTGTTTTGGAAGCTATGGGTTTACCTGAGGTTTTTTGTGGATGGATAAAAGCTTGCATCACTACTCCTCGCTATTCAATTTCTTTGAATGGGAGCTTGGTGGGGTTTTTAAGGGTGCAAAGGGGGTAAGGCAGGGGGATCCTCTATCCCCTTATCTCTTTGTTATCGTTATAAATGTTTTATCTACCCTTCTGGATGCTGCAGCAAAGAATGGGGTGTTCAGATTTCACCCTAAGTGCAAAAGAATTCCCCTCACTCATCTTTGTTTTGCTGATGATTTGTTATTGTTTTGCCATGGGTCTTTGGATGCTATATTAGGAGTAGTTAGTACGCTTGAAAAGTTTTATGAGATCTCAGGTCTTAAGTTGAATGCTTTAAAGTCTGAGTTGTTTGCTTGTGGAGTGGCTAGGGATGAGCTTGAAGTGATCCAGAGTGCTACTGGTCTCAAGTTAGGCCAGCTTCCTGTTAGATACCTTGGGATACCCTTGGTCACTCGAAAGCTCTCAAGTAAGGACTGTTCTGCCTTGCTTGTGAAAATCAAAGGTAGAATTGACAATTGGTCTAGTAGGAAACTCAGCTTTGGTGGTAGATTGCAGCTTGTGAAGTCTGTCATTTTCAGTATATTTGGTTACTGGTGCAGGCAAGTCATTCTGCCTAAAGGGGTTATGAGGGATATTGAGAAAATTTGCTTGAGGTTCTTTTGGAAGGGCAGTGATACTTCAGCAAGAGGGGCTAGAGTCAGCTGGAATCAGATTTGCACCCTTAAATCTGAGAGTGGTTTGGGCCTTAGGGAGCTGGCTGATTGGAGCAAGGCTTGTTGTTTCATGCTTATTAAAAATATTCTTGCTGGGGAGGGGTCCTTATGGATTGCCTGGGTAAAATCTTACTGTTTTAAATCAATACACTACTAGGAGGTTGATAGTAAAGCTCAATTCAGTTGGACTCTCCGCAAGCTGATCAAAATGAGAGAGGAAGCTAGAAGACTTTTCTGTTCTATGGCCAATCTGTCACTGATTAAGGGCAGTTGGATTTGGGAAAATATTAGACAAAGGAGAGAAAATGTTGATTGGCATCGGCTGATCTGGTTCCCAGCTCATGTCCCTAAATTCTCTGTGGTTGCTTGGATGGTGATGCTGGATAGACTGACAACAAAGGACAGACTTGGGCGTTTTGGTATTGTGACTGACAATCTATGTGGTCTGTGTGGGGCTAGTCAGGAAACTCGTAACCATCTGTTCCTGGAATGCTCCTATTCTTGTGAGGTTTGGCGCTCTATTATGAACTTTTGTGGTTTACATTACCAACTGCCGAGTTGCTGGGATGATGCTATACGCTGGATGGTCCTGAACTTTAAAGGTAAATCCCTCTTGATTTATATTCTCAAGTTAGCTTGGACTAGTTTTGTCTACTTTATCTGGGAGGAGCGAAATCACAGATGTTTTAGAGGAGTGACTCGCTCGACTGACTTAATTGTAAATAGAATTAGTGAGACTGTTAGAATCAAGCTTCATAGATGTCATATGAATAGGTCTGATGCTGTAAATAGTTAGTTGTGCCTCAATTGGGGGCTGATATTATAGTCATATTGTTCTTTGTAGCAGCCCTGCTGCTTTCTTTTGGATGAATAAAATTTTACTTATCCAAAAAAAAATAATATATTTCATGTTCCTTGCTTAGATAAATTTCGTGTAGTGTAAATAATATTGTTCAAATTTAAATCACTTAGGATGGAATATATCACATTTTATCATTGAGATACTCTTTGAATTTATGTATTATTTTTCTTAAAGTAATTATATAATATAACCTAAATGAAAGTAACCTATAATAATGTAACATAATTATTTCATACAATCATTTTTACATGAATATGATAAAAAATAAATTAAAAACTACAATCATAATATAAAATATAACATGATTGTAGTACACGTGTATTGAAATATGTATAATATATATAAATCATTTTCGTATCAAAATTTATATAATATAAAGCACTTTAAATAAAATTATAGTATAATAAAATCTTTCAACGTAGGGGATGTCTAAGGTACAACAGACTTAATATACGACTAAGAAAAGGTGTTACCAGAAATGTTAATATTTTTTTAACATTTTCTATAAAGCGATACCTAAAACATTAATTTTTTTACCGGAAATGTTAATATTGGGCGTTACCTAAAATGTTTAACATTTCCGGTAAAACACTACCTAAAATATTATTTTTCTACAGAAAATTAGGTAGCGAAATTAACATTTCTTGTAGAAAAAAATAATGATTTCGGTAGCGCTTTATCAAAAATATTAAAAAAAATTATTAGCATTTCCGATAGCGCATTTTCTTAATTGTATATTAAGGTTGTCGTACATCACAACTACCCTTCAACGTAGGGTGTGTTTTTCTTTATATTTTCGTCGCGTGTGTTTTTTTTTGCATCGATGGAAGGAGAATTGACCACTTTATCTATTGAAGATAACAAGAAAAAGCTATTGCAGATTATGATCGAGAGATGATTTTAGAAAGCTATGCATTTTGCTTGGTTGAATATCAATTTTTTTTTCAATGTTTGACACTCGATTAGAGAGATCTCAATTAGAAATATGTATGAAAACATTTTTTTAGATGAAATTATTGACGAAATCTCTTAATTGATGATGTGACATCTTTACATATCATGTCATGTTACGAATTAAACATGTGTAAAAATATCACATCAATAAAATATGTTGATCATTAGTCAATTAACAGATTCTATCAAACATATGTTATTTTAACTAAAAATTAAAACATTAAAATTTAAAATGTTCCAAAAAAATAGAATAAAAACCAAAGTAACTAATTATACAAATGCTAGTAGTTAATTTTGTCATTATGCCTTTTTAGACGAGGATACTATAGGTAAGGATATGATATTGGATTAAGAGGACGACTCAATGAGCCTAGTTGACTTGAAGAAGAAGACCAAAACTGATTCTAATCCAGTTTCTTCACTGTCTCGTGCGGCAGAACAATGCCAAGTCACCGGTTTAACGTGCCACATCGACATTTTATTACCCCTGTGACGACTATTAATGTATCGTGTTACAAATTGATGATGTTAGTGACAAATCGATAATGTTAGTGAGTAATTTGTTAGTTTGGAAACTTCAGTTGAAAACAAAAACTTACTCAAACATTAATGACCATCTATATAGTTTATCCTTAAAAATGATCAATTTTTACTTAATTTAAAACTAAAATTATTTTTTACTTTTTTTTTCCTGTTATTCTTTACACTGTTATATACTAAAGATTGTATTTCCAAACCAAATAGTAGATCTAGTCTAGCCGCTTGGCCATTGAATTTCCACTCAAGGACACAAGTTTGAGCCACAACCTTACTTCTATCAGTTTTCTATCTAATCTTTATAGTGAAATGTGTAATCATTTGATTAGGTAGAATACTTTATCTTCTATCAATTTTCTATCTAATCTTATGGTGAAATATGTAACCATTTGGGTGAAAAATAAAATAAAATAGTTAAAATTAAAAAAAAAAATCTCTTACTCATATTGTGACTATGTGCCACAATATAATCATGATTAAATTTGATAAATTAGATTAGAATTATGATCAAATTAATTGAATGTATAATTATTAAGACTAAATATATAATTATTCCAAATTTATTAATTGTCATATCATAATTTATTAATTAGGTGGTATGATTGGTAAAATTGAAAAATCAAAGGAGTTAAGTTTACCCTAAAAACTTTCAACGAAGCTTGTGTTTTTCTTTATGTTTTTGTAGCGTGTTATTTTTTTCTGGTGCGACAATTGAAGGAGAGTTGGCCGTTTTGTCTATTGAAGACGACAAGAAAAAGATATTGTAGATTATTTTGGTTGAATGTCATTTTTTTAACGGTTGACACTTGGTTAGAAGGGTCTCGATTAGAAATCTGTGTGATTTTCCCCCCGATTTTTTAGATGGAAATATTGACGAAATCTTTTAACGGGTGATGTGACGTTTTCATGTCATATTATGAATTAAGTGTATGAAAATATCACATCAAAAATGTATGTTCATTATTAATCAACTAATTTTTAATATATTGATGCTATTTTTTTAACTAAAAATTAAAAGTTAAAATAATCTAATAAAATAGAATAATCTAATAAAATAGAATAATAATCAAAGTGATTAATTGTGCAAATGTTTCTTCAGTTTTGTTTTACTGTACTTTAAAGTAATACGAGCAACGTTGCTCAAAGTATTACAGCATACAACCCGAACTTGGACTATCGCAACGTGAATATGTAAATCGTATTGCGATAGTCCAAGTTCGCAACGACTGGTGGTATTGCATTTGTTTCTTAAGAATTTTCTCTAAAAAGATAGTATTCGCGCGGACGTGTCGAAGACACGTATTACCACGACCACGACCACGACCACGACCACGACCACGACCACGACCACGACCACGACCACGACGGCGGCGGCGGCGGCGCGCGAGAGTCCCCCTTATTCTCTATCACTCAACAAGGAAGTGGGAAAGCCAAGTCTTAAATATCATTCCCAATAGTGTTTCCAATACTATGTGGGATTAAGTATTACCAACACTTGTTTCCAATACAATGTGATTATTCAGGAAACAATTAACAATCATGCACCTTAAAACAACTGAATCAGCAACCAATTGCATTAGTATTATACGATTAAATATGTCATAATTAAAAGTCAATCTACAATCAATCGCGATTATTACAATTTTAAGCAAATCATTCAAAAATAATATCACTATTTAAGGCTCAATCCCACATAGTATTGGGAACAAGTGTTGGTAATGCTCAATCTCACATAGTATTGGAAACACTATTGGGAATGGTATTTAAGGCTTGGCTTTCCCACTTCCTTGTTGAGTGATAGAGAACAAGGGAAACTCTCGCGCGCCGCCGCCGCCGTCGTCCGTCTCGTCTCGTCTCGTCTCGGGTCGGGTCGTGGTCGTGGTCGTGGTCATACGTGTCTTCGGCACGTCCGCGCGAATACTATCTTTTTAGAGAAAATTCTTAAGAAACAAATGTAATACCGTCGTTGCGATTTTGGACTATCGCAAAGAACTTGGACTATCGCAATTCGAATATATAAATCGCAACGCGAACTTGGACTATCGCAATGCGAATATGTAAATCGTAATGTGATAGTCGAAGTTCGCGTTGCGAATCTGGAAACTGATTTGCGATACCGGAGATCGCGTTACGAATTATCGATCGCATTGCGATTTAGTTGGTCATTTTGGCAAATCCAAAAAAAATTAGTTAAAATCGTATATTATAAGGCATTTTTTGTCACTGAGGTTATTTTCTCTAAAAAAAATTACCCTGATGAAGTCTCCAACAATTTATGAGTTCCCTTCCATGCCTGAATTGAATCGGAAACAATCTGTCTGCTCACTGGTTTATGATGAATACGATGCAGACCACAATTACGTGAAACCTATTAACATGAAAGGGAATGATTTTAAGCATTTCATCGATACTGGATTCAAATACACATTCAAGCAAGGCATCTTAATGAAAACTCTTCGGATAAGGGAGCAGGAGAGTATAATCAATCGAAAGCCGATGCTTATCTCTGAATTCGAGTAAACAAGTTATCACTAGTTAAAATTTACACTTACCATTTTGTTTGGTTGGATGAACCACAGTTTGCTGGGGCCATAGGAGCCGGAGGTGGAGGTAGAGATGGGGGTGGGGGTGGAGGTGGAGAGCCAAAGATTCCTGTCAACAAAGAAAAAAAACATATAGATTCAAGTATAAGTATTCGATATCGGTATGTGTTCAATATACACTCACGGTTCGATGAATCGAACCATAACGATACATAAATGTCGAATACAAATACTTGGAAAACAATGAATGCCACAAACAGCAAAGCAGCATGTTTTCAGGGAGCTTCTTTTCCTTAGCAGGGTTAGGATCAGGATCGTAGACTCTCACATAAAGCTACTGACCCAAGTACCAGTTTTTCAAGTGTTGTGATCTCAAATTCCACATCCCTGGATTGTCTAACATGCATAAACCGCTGTCCATCTGCCAGGGTACACCTGAATTGTGGACCGGATCACTGGATCGTAGGTATTGTAAGAAGATCGAGAGTTCGGTGTCCATTGTTCATCACCAAACCTAAAACCAATTCAAATTGAACCGTAAATAAATCCTCAAATTTACTTAATCAATTTTAACTCTAATATTTACCTACCCAACTGCGAAGAATCCAAAACCATCCAAATGGCAAGTATGGATTAAGTCCAAGTCATTCTTGAACACGAACTCAGTCCAGCCGTTAAGGATTCCAGATGCTACGAAAACGTCGTTCGTGGCTTCGACGATCGAAGAATTTGTTGGGAATTTGTCGAGCACATAAACACCGTTTCCGCCATTGGCGAAGGCATTGGAGAGCTTTAATGGAGTTTCGGGTGTAAGATAAGATACGTTGTTGACTGTGTAACGAGCTTTGCCGTTGATCTCCGCAACCGAGCTTCGGAGAATAAAGGTTCCTTGCGGGTTAG